CGCGTCGTAGGCCTCGGCGTCGTCGCCGCCGCCGCCGCCGCCGCCGTCGGCCGCCGCGCAGCGGCACGCGACGCGGACGTAGGCGTCGAAGCACCGCGGCGCCGCGGCGTGCACGGCGGCGCGCGTCCGCGCGCCGACCTTGCGCGCCTGCGCGAGCTTGGCGGCCTCGCGGAAGGCCGGCAGGAGCAGCTCGGGGCCCCGGCGGCTCGCCGACGCCTCGAGGAGGCCGAGCAGCGCGCCGTGGTGGGCCGCGAGCGCGCCGTCGACGGCGTCGCGGCGGCCGTCGGCGGCGACGTCGCCGCCGAGGGCGCCCAGCGCCTTGAAGCGCGCGCAGAGCTCCTTGAAGCAGTCGCCCGCGCAGCGGCAGAGCGCGGCCCAGAGCGCCGCGGCGGCGGCGCCCGCGGCGACGCGCTGCGCGCCCGCGGCGAAGAGCGCCGCGGCGACCCGCGGCACGGCGGCGGCGACGCCGAGGGACGCGTCGAGGTCGAGGTGCGGCGACGCCGCGAGGGCCCGGAGGCACAGGAGCGCGGCGACGTTCGCGGCGCCGTCGCCCGCCGGCGGCCGCGCGGCGACGGTCGCGGCGAAGTCGACGGGGTCGCCGGCCGCGCGCGCGGCGGCCATGTGGGGCCCGTCCCAGGAGACCCACGTCGCGAAGTGGCGCAGGCACCGGAGCGCCGCGACGAGGCGCCGCTCGCCCGCGGGGCCCGGCGCGCGCGCCGCGCGGTCCGCGACGCCGAAGACCGCGGCGACGACCGCGGGCGCGGACGCGTTGAGCGCCTTGAGCACGTCCGCGCGGCGCTTCGCGGGGAGCCGCCCGTTGTAGTCGGCGTCGATGCAGTCCTCGGCGACCTCCGCGAGCGCGCCGAGGCCGAGCTCGAGCGCCGCGTCGCCGCCGCCGTCCGCGAGCACGTCGCCGACGAAGCCGGGCCAGCGCTGCGGGAACTCGCGGAGCGCGACGGCGGCGAGCACCGCCGCCTTCTTGTTGCGCAGGAACGGCGCCTCGCCGTCCGCCGTCGCGCGGCCCGCGCCGAGCGCGAGCGCGCGCGTCGCCGCGCGCGACTCGCCGTCGAGGCCGTTCCAGAACGTCGTCGCGACGCGCTCGAGGCAGCCGAGGCCGAAGAAGGCGACGGCGTCGTTGCCGGGCGGCAGCGCGAGCGTCGCGCGCGCGACGCCGAAGCAGGACCCGGCGTCGGCCTTGACCGCCGCGAGCGCCTCGCGCGCGCACCGCCGCTCGCCGGGCGACGCGTCGTGCCGGTACTCCGTCTCGAGCGCCGCGAAGATGGACTCCAGCGACGCCATGGGAAACAAACGCGACGCGGACGCGAGCACAACAAGTCCACGCGCCCAGCGGCGGGGCCGGTGCTAGCTCGAGGCCATCGCCTGTGCTGGCTATCCTCGCCGCGGCGACGCCAGTCCGGGACGCGCACGGCAGGCTCACGGCCGCGGCGGCCGTCGCGCGGCGCCGCGCCGACGCGGTCCAAGCCTCGGCCCGGGGAAAGTCCCGCCCGATCGCCCGCAGCACCCCGGATGGCTGAAGTTCCCGCGCGCCCCCCTAGGCGCCGGTGTGTTTGCCGCAGAGGCCCGCGGGCGCGATGGCGAGGTCGAGGCGCGCGAGCTCCGCGTGCCTGGGCGGGAAGCACACACATGTGCGACGCGACTTCAATAGGCATGTCTTCGCGCGGTTTCGACGTCGGCTTTGCACTGTCGGAAAAGGGCTCGCCGAGAGACAACGATCCGTCCAAGCATCAGCCGAAACGACGTCGACGTGACCGAGATAGGGAGGCGCGAAGTCTCGCCGGACGAGGCCGTTCCACCGGTTGTTTCCCACGCGGCGGCGCGCGCGGCCTCGCAGTCTTCGGGCGACGCGTCGGTCTCGTGCAGGACGGCGTGGAGGTACTTGCGCGCGGCGTCGTCGTCCTTGGTGACGCCGCCGCGGCCGTGGGCGAAGAGGACGCCGAGCTGGAGCGCGCTCCGGCCGTTGCCGAGCTCCGCGCCGCGGCGGAGCAGCGCGAGCGCCGCGAGCTTGTCCGGCGCGTCGGCGCCTGCGCGTCGGCGGGCGCGCGCGCGGGCGTCGACGCGCGCGCGCGCGCCGCGACGGCCCCGAGCGCGAGCCGCGTCGACGTCGAGC